TTCATCGCTTTTTTTTTCCTTGTGACTTCCAGAATATGAAACTTAAACTCCTGTCAGCAATTTGATATGTAAAAGCTCTTAGCCCTCGGAAGTAAATTCTAAATTTACGCAGAACAGATCTCAAATATATTTATAAACAATATGTGAAGGCAATAAAACCTACCGATGAAATTATTTTAACCTGTAATGGCTAAGTAATAGTTTATAGATCATTTACTGCACACACATATATATATATATATGTGTGTGTGTGTGATGTACCCTGTCAGCAAGTTTTCATACCAATAAGTTTTGTTGAAGACAACAGGTAAATTACGTGCATTACATTTTTTTGAACATTTTTTTTTATGTTGGCGGGTAAATTCTGCCTGTTGATGTTAAAGGCGAAGTGAAACTGTGCCCCATAGTTCCTGTTGGTTTTTGTCAAGCTTCCGAGACATTCCAATAGCGTCAGTCGTTACCATGGAAGAAAGAAATAAATTAATATTTCAAGTCCACTTAGCGATCACTTGTATATTTAAGATAATTTTGCCTTTTAATTTAATCTAATTTAATAAATATTTTATAACGGGTATTTTATACCGATGAGGGCATTCATTTTTGTCGAATAAAGACTAAGTTGGGATTCCATAGTTTATACATACACACGCACGCACACACACACACATTCACACTAACACATCTACAGGGTGATTGAAAAGTAACTCCCTATTTTATGTATGGATGGCCAACCAGGAATCCTGACATAACACACTAGGAGTTTTTCTTTGGGGTTAGTTAAAGAATCAAGTCTACTATAACAATCTAAGACATTGGAAGTACTTGAAGGGCGAATACAAGAAGTTATGTCTTCCATAACACAAGAATTTCTGCTGAAATCAGTTGACACGATACCTGGGCGATTCGAGAAGCTGGTAGCGAAATCTGGTGCCCATATTGAATTTTAAATAAAACCTCATGCTAAACGCTTTCCTCTTATATCCAATTCTTGTAAAAATTATAGTTAATAAATAAATTATAAGTATTTTAAAATGTCTATATCGTCGTCGTCGTTGGTGGAACTCGTTGCCGAGTACTTGGTTGTCATCGATATTTCCTTCTGTGTGAAATGAATTCTTATGTTGGAGCTGAAGAGATGTTCGTAGTTACTGCATGACAGGGTAAGACATGTTCAGAAGATGGAGATCTCTGGCTTTTCTTTGGTCTCTTTACCTCTCTTCTGTTTGTCTTTTTGGTGTTTTTCCCTCAGATTGACACCCTAACAGGCTGAGCTGTTTATACTGGTTCTTCCGACGCGAATGCCAAGCAGCACAACATGCCGTTTGTAAATTTCTGGCGAAGTGAATCGCCTCACGGTGCTCTTTTTCACACACACGATGCCCAATTGACCTTACTGTGCAGTCGACAAAATCAAAAACAAGCAACACGCATGCACAAAATTGAAAATATAAAATGGCGACAAATTATCCATCGCACCCTGTGTGTGTGTGTGTGTGTGTATATATATATATATATATATATATATATATAAATTAACTGATTTAAAAATATGGTTCCTTCGCTACACAAGAATTACCATGTTTCAAAAGTCGAAGCTAAAAACTTCAAATTTAATTATATAAATAATTTAAAAGAATTAGTTCTGTTTCATCTTCAAGCGAATTTTGGATTCCAAAATTATAGATACCAAAATTTTGAAATCCAAAATTCGCTTGACAGCGCAGTACTCCTCCACTGAAGAGTACTGCACTGCCTGCGAATGTCACAATATATATATATATATATATATATATGAAATATAGTTTTAAGATGTGCTATATTTATGGGATAAAGTGCTCAATATCAGAGAGTGTATGTAAATATAAATATAAAAGTAAACATTGAAGTCAACACTCGGAGGCTGCCTCTGAGTCTTAATTTCAATGTCCACTTTTTTATTTTATATATATATATATATATATATATATATATATATATATATATATATATATAGTGTGTAACAACGAAGTTCACGAAATTGGATTAATATTAAATTGCAAGCAATAACACATAGTGCACGCCATTTTCTTCGAAGTAGTCTCCTTATCTTGAACTAAAATCCGTACCAGATTTTGGTTCGCGCAGTAATTAATTTAATGCATGCCTGTGATATATATATATATATATATATACATATATATATATACACTCACACACATATATGTAACAGGCGTGCATTCAAGAGCATTAATTCCTTGTCCTTCATGACCACTTAAAAAACATCCATTCATTTGTCTTGTAACAAAATATAAAGAAATATGCCGAAGTGTTCGTTGTGCAATCATTATTCCTTGAAAGGTATTTATTACAATTAAGAAAATCATCGCCATGGATGGAAAGAGAACAAACACAAGCCTAAATTACAGTGTTGCGCGGTGAACGCTGTCGTTGTACATCTCTGTTTTGTATCAGAAGGCTAAAGGTAGTCTGTTCACATTCTTGATACCTGCATATCGGACCGAAACAAAGCATCTTCAGAACAAAATTGAATAAGAAATTATTCAGCCTTTCAAAATGAGTTGTTGAATGTTTTTTTTAAGGATTAGACAATTCGCCAACCTCCGAATTTCTTCAGTATACACTGCATTATAAGCAGCGCTTGATTTACCTATAAGATAAATAAACCATTGCTTAAGGCCACGCAGCCTCGGATGCTTCAATCTTATATATATATATATATATATATATATATATATATATATATATATATATATATAGAGAGAGAGAGAGAGAGGTGGGGGAGAGAGTGTTGTAATGGAACGTTCCACTATTACCTATTGTGGACTGACTATATCAGTAATATATGCAGTGTGCAAAAGAACATACCAGTGTCTGTCTGTCTGTCTGACTAGCTTTGGGAACTATTAGTCGACTCCCTGTCTTTCAGTAGTGTATTCTCTTTTACATTAAACCTCTCTTTCTTCCATCTACGCCCGTGTTGCTGTTTCTTCCACTCGATTACCACCTTTGTCTGTTTTGTAACCTTTTAAGGATACAACAGATATATATATATATTCAACATCATCACTTGATAAGACACCAGAGGTGTTGAAACAAAATAGCTATTTTTTAGTGATTTTATAACATATTTATGTTATAATTTTTAAATAAATAATTATATATATATATATATATATATATATATATATATATATATATATATATATATATATATATTATATTAGTTTTTAACACTAAAATCACCAAAAGTTATATATAGATCATCAAGCAATTTCTAAAGAAATTATGGATTTTTTATTTACTAATCCGACAGATTTTATCACAACAAACGAATTTTTAGTGACAACCCATGTTTTAGTAGATGTTTCGTCCATTTATTAAACAGTGTTTTAAACGGTCTGAATATTCGAAAAAACGGAACCATTTTGCTGCGGATATATCCGTTAATTGCAGAAAAATGGAATTAACCCACGGCTTTGAAAAAAGACTCAGAGTATGCTGTGAGAAAGACTTTTTTTTTGGTGGGGAGGTGATAATAAACATTATTAATTACGCAGTGAAAGTGTTAAAAAAACTGTGTGCTCTCCGGCATATTTTTCTTTATTAAGATTTCAGGCAGGTGGACGAATATAAATAAATATACGGAGCGTCTACTCAAATAAGAGTATCCACTACAAATAACGTTTAAGTGTATGTATATATATATATATAAGTAATTCATCGAGTCTAGAAGAAACCTCGACAGAATGCAGAAAGCACCTGGGTGGTCGTTTCGCTCTATAGTTGGGACTCATCAGCAGTGCGCATCCACTACCGAGAATTGAAACCCGGACAACTACATTGAAAGGCAAACGTCATACCAACTGTACTAACGGTCTCCGACGACGAAGAGGTAGCGAACTAGACTGGATATTGCGCCGCTCGTTCACATATTCCGTGGTGGAACTCATCCAAGTTGGTTTGCCTGTCAATGTAACTGTCCGGGTTTCAAATCTCGGTAGTGGATGCACACTGCTGATGAGTCCCAAATATAGGACGAAACGGCCGTCCAGTGCTTTCTGCATTCTGTTGAGGTTTCTTCTAGAATCGATGAATTACTTAATTATCTCAAATCCTCCTTATAATTTATATATATATATATATATATATATATATATATATATATATATATATATATATATATATATAAAGATGTGTTTGATAATTCATATGGATAATTCCAGGGAGGATATAATCCAGAGAGCTCAATGTAAAAACAAAGCAAATATTCCTCAAGCACATGTGTGCATAAATTAAAAAGAATAATACTGAATTCTTCTTATAGTTGAAATATTTGTCACCTATTTATTTGTATGATAATTATGATCTGAGGAATTAGGATCGAATTTCGATATTCGATTATAATCACCATGAACCCTCAAAGTTGTCTGTTTCTTATTATAATTTATATATATATATATATATATATATATATATATATATATATATATATATATATATATATATATCAATTCGTTATATTCACTTACGTGCTAAAACCCTTCTTTAGCCTTTGATGGCAATTGGTCTAGGAGAAGGACAACTCTGAATTCAAAACCTGAGGAGGGTCGGTTGAGGACCTTTGTGGCACACGGTTCACAGTTCGGCCCTTCAAAAAGTGTGGTTGGTTCTGCACAAAGACTTCACCACTATAATCAAATCATATGTGCTGGTGTCTGGGCAGTCGGTTCCTAGGAACTGAGCCGCTTGACCCCGATGCGTAGAATACGACGGGAGAGTTCACCACATATATATATGGTAGACTCTCCTGTTTAAGTAACGTTTAAGTAATAAGATATAATCATTAATAAATAATAATCATGTATAATTAATTTATTTTTTATAAAAAGTGTCTCGAATTTCCTATAGCTTAGGGTCTCAGTCGGCGAATGTCTGGCCCCGGCCATAACCGAGTTCTGGAAGCGCTTCAGGCTACGTATTTTTGGTGGAACTGAAAACTT